CTTTAGCACACTCATAAAGCCGTGCAACCATCCCGACTGTAATTCCGGAACATTCTCATCCCCCCCAAGAAATGTGTACCCGTTAGTCATCCCACCGGTTTTCCAGTCTCTTAGTCACCCGCAGCCTCTTATCTGTCTCTGCGGATTTGCCTGTCCTAGACATTTCATGGAAATGTAATCACACAATCTGTGACCTGCTGCATCTGGCTTCGTTCACTCACTGTAATTTTTCAAGATCCATCCGTGTCTCAGCGTGGAAACAGTCCTTCCTTCCTTTTTATGGCCAAAGAAAATTCTATGGCACGGATATCCCACATTTTCTTTATCCACTCGTCAGCGGACGGACATGGAAGTCGTCCTACTCTTTGCTGTGGGCCTCTCTGTATACGTTTTTGAGGGGACGTGTGTTTTCATTCGTCTTAGGTATATATACCTAGGAGTGGGATGGCTGGGTTTCACTTCTGGGGGAACCATCAGACTGTCTTCCAAATCAGCGGCGCGATTTTAAATTCCCACCCGCAGTGCAAGACGGTTTTCTGACTTCTCTACATTCTCCACGCTTCTGTCCTCCGTCTCTCTGATTACAGCCGTCCCAGTGTGGGAAGTGGCATCTTGGTCCTGGGCGCTGTAGGCAACCGATGAATCACTAAACTATACCTCTGAAACTAATAGTTCACCAAATGCTAACCAACTGATTTTAATAAAATAAACAAAAAAAGAAAAAAGAGTCATCTCATTGTGGTTCTGACTTACACTTTCCTGATGACTAACGATGTTGAGCATCTTTTTATGGGCTCATTAGTCACTTGTACCATTTTTTTGGAGAGATGTCCACTCAGATCATTTGTCTGTTTTAAATGAGCTTGTCCTTTTATTGCTGAGTTCTAAGAGGTCCTTTTATATTTTGGACACTCTCTTACCGAATATATGATTTCCAGAAAATGTTCACCTGTTCTGTGAGTTTTTCTTAGACTTTCCTGACAGTGTCCTTGGCAGAACAAAAATTTTTCAGTTTGAAGAAGCTCGTTCATCCACTGTTCCTTTTGGCGCTTGTGCCCCAGCTAAGAAATTATTGCCTGGGGTGCCCGGGTGGCTCAGTCAGGTAAACCTCGGACTCCTGATTTTGACTCAGGTCACAGTTTCAGGGTCGTGAGATCAACCCTCACATCAGGCTCTGTGATGAGCGTGAAGCCTGCCTAAGATTGTTTCTCTCTTTCTCCCTCTGCCCCCCTCCTGCTCGCACTCATGCTCTCTCTCTCAAACAAATAAATAAATCTTTTTTTTTTTTTTCAAAGAAGAAAGACGGGGCACCTGGGTGGCTCAGTTAGTTAAGCCTCTGCCTTCGGCTCAGGTCATGATCTCGGGGTCCTGGGATCCAGCCCCACATCGGGCTCCCTGCTCAGCGGGGAGCCTGCTTCCCCCTCTGCTGCTGCTCTCCCTGCTTGTGCTCTCTCTCTCTTTCTGACAAATAAATAACTACAATCTTTAAATAAATTCTTTTTATTTTTTATTTTTTATTTTTATTTATTTATTTTTTAAAGATTTTATTTATTTATTTGACAGACAGAGATCACAAAGCAGGCAGAGAGGCAGGCAGAGAGAGAGGGAAGCAGGCTCCCTGCTGAGCAGAGAGCCCGATGCGGGGCTCGATCCCAGGACCCTGAGATCATGACCTGAGCCGAAGGCAGCAGCCCAACCCACTGAGCCACCCAGGCGCCCCAAATAAATATCTTTTTAAACAAAGAAAGAAATTATTGCTTAACCCAAGGTGACAAAGAATTGTGCCTGTTTTCTTTTAAGGGCGTCATGAAAGCTAACAGACTTTTAAATGTAGGCTTTTGGCTCACTGTGCATCACGTTTTGTATATGACGTGAGGCTGGAGTTCCACTTTACTCTCTTACGGGTGGATATGCGCTGGGACCAGCACCATCTGTGGAAGAGACGACGCTCTCCCCGACCTCGAGTCTCCGTAGTGCCCTTCTTGAAAGATGATGTTTTCAAGATGGACCTGCGCTGATGCTGGTGTCTCTAATTTACTCCTCTGACGACCACGCAGGATTCCAGGAGATGAGCAGATCTCCGTGCGTGCCTTCTCTTGCTCACAGAGATTGAGGCTGTTTCTTGTGCATCTTTTTTTTTCTTTCTCTCTTCATTTATTACCACCCCCACCACCGCCACCCCCAGTGCACAAGCAAGTATGCACTGTCTCTTTGCCTTGCGCAAAGGGCAACCCCCGTAAGTCGAATTTCTGGGTTGGGGCATCCAGAGGAGCCCCACGCAAGACCAGGTCATGACAGACACTCAGGTTAGCTGCGCTTCTAATGAGCTTGAGGAAGGAACACAAGCAACACAGAATACACCTGTAGCAGGAAATTATAAAATAAATGATGACCTTACTAAGCATTAACACTACAAAAAATAAATAAATCAAACAAAACACACAGCTGTTAAGATGTATCGGTCATTCCTCTCAGATGAGCTTTCCTTTCTCACCAGAAGGTGGCAGAGAGGATACAGCTGAAACTCTTCTTCCCCCATTTTTAAAAGAAAATAAAATTATTTTTTAAAGAGCAAAGCAAAAGTCTCTTGCAACTTAAAGCTTCTAACTTTTAAACATACAGATTTGGAGGTTTTATTAGGTAATACAGTCATGAGAAATATCACCTAAGGGAGACCAGAGACAATCACTTTTGATATCTGCATTAAATAAAACATATTTGGCCATACCAAGAAAGTATGAATCTGTCTAAAAGGTATGAATAGATGAGCTCATTATAGTTACTGGAAAATATTTTAAGGGCAACTGAAAAGTAAAAAACAAATTTACACATGCCACCGATTCACAGACATAAGCTCCGTGTGCAACATGAAAATATAATTTTGCGACACGGCGTTCAAGTCTATAAATGATCTGCCATCCCCGTCCATAAGTGAGGGGCCGGATTAGCTGAACATCCAAAGTCCCTCCTTCCCCTGGTGTTTAAGTGGTATACTTCCCACTGCCGAGACGCGGGCAGGAAGGTCCCACACGAGCTCGTGACAGAACCGTGTCTAAAACCCAAGTTTGCTGACCCTTCCCCAACTTCCCTAACTGTCTTTAAAAAGACAGATCTCCAGAAAAAGCTACGTCCGTATAGATTCTGCCTATACGAAAACACAGTAAGTTCACGCCAGGTTTATTTAAAACGACACATAACTCAAAATGAGACGGGGTTATTTGTGAGAAGAAAAGGTCCCGATGAGTCCCCGTGGGCTTGTCCACAGGGGATGGAGGCCAGGTAAGGAGACAGAAGCCTGTGGGGCAGCGTCTGGTGGGAGGATGGAGGGATGAGAAGGAGGAGAAACGCCCCCAACACTGAGCTCCCTCCAGGGCCCAGGGGAGCAGGGGCACGGGGGCTGTGGGAGTCAGGCCCAGGCCAGAGATGGCCCACGTGCCAGCAGGGCCTGGCCCAGAGAATAAAACCCAGACGCATTTAACGGTCTTTGCTGGAGGCTTCCCCCACTGAACCATTTGCCACCGAATCCAGCCGCTGACTTATGACAGCAAATAATACACCACGAGCCTTTCAGGGGGTCATCCCCACTCCCCAAACGCCTGGTTTTAAACTCTTGTGGAAGCAAGAAACGCAGGACTAACGTTAGAAGTTGAGGTTTGTCCTCGTAGAAGGCAGATCTGTTTTGCAGAATCGCCTGCAGGTGTAGGGCTCTAGAAACTCCAGCCACTTGGGGCTTGGCGGCCGCCAAGTTCCGTTCTGCTTTTCTGCTCGGCTGGGCCAGGGAACGTGGCCTGTTCTGTAAGGGTGGGTATAGCACTTTGCCAGAAAACTCACATTCTTGTGGGTGGAGACGTTGGGAGGCTGGAGGGAGTCTGCAAGTCTGTGTAGGCCAAACGCTGCAGGGACGTCCAAGGGGTGAAAAATAATACCTTGGGGGTTAGCAAATTTCCACGGCCTGGGGAGCCAAAGGTGCAGCTCTGGAAACACGGCAAGAAAGCGACCACTACAGGGAGGGAGTGCCTGGAAGGTGGACAGCGCTGTCCTGGGCTCCCTTTGCTACACGCATGGTCACTGTGTTACCGATGGCAGCGCAAGGACTCCCTGGGTCCCCTGCTCCTCCGGGCCGAGGCCCAGGTGAGATTCGTCCCAAGCGGCTGCCACTTACAGGGGCCCCATTAGCTGGAAACGAGAGAGACGCCGTCATCCCCACCGTCAATCAATGCACGGTAAATCACGGGCGCACGCTCCGTCCCCTTAAAACAGATCTGAACCATGACGAGGTCCCAAGGCTCCCTGAGAAACTGATCAAAGTCATTCATACGGCACACCTAACCCCCAACGGACACGTGTGCCGGCTATAATGTTGATCCAGTGGAGGGATGCGCGGGCCCTGGGTAAGATGGAAAAATCTGTGATTTCAAGAGCAAGAATGGCCTGACATTAAGGTGAGGTCGAACTGGAAGTGTTATTCCTATTAACGGAAGGAGCCGTTAGAAAGAAGGCTTCTCTCTCAGGGCGAACGAAGCAGAGCGATCCACTGAGGCACAGACTGGTCATGCTGGTTTGGGACAGTCCAGGATGGAGACAGCGTGGGCCGGGGAGACCCCGAGATTCCCACTCCCGGACCGGGCTTTGCCCAGCTGGAGCACACCTCCAAGAATTTCCAACAAACCCCCTCCCTGATGCTCTGCTCATCAGGCAACCACAGGACTAGAAGGTGGCCTGTCATGTCGGTCTGCCCACAGCGACACGGTATCCTGGTCATGCCTGAGCACGCAAGTGTGCGAGGCCGTCCCAGTCCTCACGGGAAATGGAGACATGGGCATTTTGTTTTACACCCTGGTCCCATGAGTCAGTCTCATCCTTGAGAGGGACAGCCACCGTCAGAGGGCTGGAAACTCAGATGGTTAAGCTGGTCAGGCTGAGGTCTGAGAGCTGCCACTTCCTGGCAACACCGGGCACGACACGGTCCCCCACCCTGACCCCAGAAACGCCAGACTTGCCTTTTACAGGACATCGGATCGTCACGTTGGCTCCCAAGGCTGCCTCCACGACACTTCCAACCACGACGGACAGGTGACTGTGTCCCAGTCGGCTGATATTTCTCTCAGTGGACAAGATGGCCGGCGCCTCTTCATGGAAAAGGAACAGGAAACGATGTTAGGTTCGGGCTTTTGCTCTGGGAAACCAGCCGCATTTGGTAAACTTGGCGCAGCAAGTGGCTGTCTCTGCATCCCTCACGGTGCCCCCCTTAGGGCTGACACATACACAGCCAGGGGCTCTTTAGTGCCTGGACGCACAGGCGGGTGGACAGATGGATGTACGCGTTCAGAGAGACACCCACGGGGTGGTCTGCACAAAGCAGAGCTAGGCTCTGAGGTTATTCTGGTTTTATAACCAAAACCGAGGATAAATCCTTCTTTGATAAATCGAAAAAGAAGGATTACCAAAGCTCACGAGAAGCCAAGAAGCGGGGCCAGGCGTCCCCTTGGAGGAACTGAAGAGGGATCCAACACACCGGGGGCTTGGGAGCCACTGACTCTTTCCCTGCAAGGAGGCCTTGAAACAAACCCACCTAAACCTTGCACAGAAAAATGACCATAACAACAAAGTCACGGAGGATCGAGAACCTAATCAGGGACTTTTCTTTCCCTGGATTTTGAGAAACGTGGACTTTCAATGGATTCATTCGTTCACTCAGTCAGGAAATACACTGTGTGCCTGGGCTCAGTGAGGGGAAAACGGCCATCGTTGCCCTCAAGCCACTCCGACTGGTGGGGGACACCGTCTCCCAGGGGCTGGTGGCCGCTGGGACAGAAGAAGGTGCTGGTTGCCCAGGAGTCTGCCAGTAGCCTGTGAGGGTCAGGGGAGGCAACATCCCATTAAGGGTGTTGGCAGGGCGTCCCTTCATGGAGGGCGACTGCCGTGATGGCATTTACTCCACCATTAGCTCGTGAGCAGCTGGAGAGTGAGGCCTGTTTCGTCTATGCACCGGCCACGCAGAACTAAGGCGTGTCGGCCGACCACTCTGTATCCACGTACTCAGGGACCAGGGGACATGGTGTTCCAGCCCTTCCAGGAATCTGGATGGTCCTCGATGACCCCATTCCCCCCAGGAATGTCCAAACCTGGGGACTGGCATTTTCGGGGAAAGGGTTGATGCTCACAGGAGGGTCAAAGCACAGAAAATCAAGGCCTGAAAGCCCTACCTTGGGAATGCGGTGAGGGGACAAGCTTGGGGAGCTTTCATAATCCCCCGGTCCAACCTGCTCAGAGCATGTGGATAGGGGATCCCTGGCACCAAGCTCAACGCTCAGTTGTCCAAATGCTGGATTCTAACCCCCGGTATGGTTCCTCCCCTCCTCTCAGTCCCTGTGAGCCACGGACACCAGAAACCACAGAGTGGAGAACTGGAGGAGGGAGCGCGTGGTTTATTTTTCATCCCAGAGCCGGAGCTCGCCACGACGAAGCGCTGCTTACGACTCACCACCTAAAACTGTTCCTTCGTAATTAAGCCCATTTTCCTTATGAAAATGACACCATCTGCCTCCTGGGAAGACAGATGCTAATTCACAGTTACAACCTCCTGAAAGTGTTTCTAAGGATGGGTGGGTATGCCTTGGGAGGCAGAGAGCCCCCTTTAGAGGAGAATTATTCTCTGGCATCGGCTGGTGGCCCTTAAAAAAGGAGAAGTCCGCCCTGTCAAAGCTGCGGTGAAACTGTCTCATTCCCTCCCGGTTCTTGGAAAGCGAGCTCTAAGGCAGGCGTTTCCAAGATCGGGTCCGCAGGCCGGCAGCGTCGGTGTGACTTGGGACCGGGTTAAAAGCGCAAACTCGGAATTTGGTCCATCCCAGACCCACTGAGTCAGAAGCTCCAGGAATGGGGTCTAGAAATCTGTGTTCTGACCTTCCCCTCGGGGGTTTCCGCTGCTTTGTGCTGACCTCTGGGAACGGCTGCTCTAGAGAACCCCAGACTTTTTTTTTTTTCTACATTTAATTTATTTTATTAAAATAACATAATTGAAGAACCATCAGATAACTGTATTTTGTCAGGCGCAATAAAAACGAAATTAAAACCCTAATCATCAAGAAAACCTGTCCTGTACTCCTGGCTTCCTTGCATCCACATGATGTGACTGAAGAGAAAGGCTGGCCCGGTGGCCCCGCCCCACAGGGGCAACTCCTGGAAGACATTCCGGGCATTCCGGGTGTCAGCAACGGGCATTACCTGCATAGAGCACCGGAGAACTCCCCACGTCCGAGCCGAGATCGTTAGCTACCGAGCATCCATATGTTCCTTGTTCCTTCTTTGTGGGGTTCCGTATCTGCATTTTCCCCCTTCCAGCCAAGATGATTCTGTGGGACAGAGAGAAAGGGTGATTCACTGCCTGGGCCCACGGCACGTCCCAGGTGAGAGGACTGCAGAATCAGACCCTGGGCTGGCAAGGGTCCCGCCCGGAAGATGGGAGGGTGGAAAAGTCTTCCTCCTGGGCTTGAGTTCAGAGACCGGGTTCCTGGACGGTGCCTGGAGAGCCAGGCTTCCTGCCTCCCTTTGCACGAGAGGAGACTTTTGTGGATGGACTCGATGCTTGTCTCACAAAGACAAGCTAGGAAGCGTTGGCTGGAAGGATGTTAACCCCCCATTTTGTGGCCAAATCCTTCCTCACAGACAGCAGGAATGGATTTTTCGGTTCGGGTTTTCACACGGGAAGTGAGCGGGCCATCAGTCAAAGGGACTTGGCTCTGGCTGTCACCTCACTGTGACTGTAGGAAGAAGTCAGAGGAGTCAGTGGTGCCAAGACTGCATTATACTGGCCTCGTAGCAGCCTGCTGAGAATCTGGGCTGACCCGAATGAGCTCCGTACGGTTTCCCGGCTATGGACAGCTGTCACCGCCAGCAGGTACGTGACCCTGAGAACCAGAGCTGGTCAGGTGTATCCTGGCAGATGACGTAATGACTCGGGGAAGAGAAAAAGGTGCTTGTTCTGCTTTTATTTTAATTTTTTCCTAACAATTTGAAGCTGCTTCTTGATCACCTGCATCAGTGGTCCGTATACTGTTTTTTTTTTCCCCCGGCTGCCTCCCACTTTCCAGATCCCAGCAACAGGGACGATTCTGACCACTAAAGGCTGTGTGTTTCTTCGTGAACTGAGCTGGGGCCACTTCTCCATTTCCTGTCACTTCATGGTGCTCTCACTGTGCTCCAGCCATAATGAGCCTCTAACAGTTTCCAGAACATTCCATGATCTTTCATAACCCCGAGCGTGTGCATATGTCGTTCACTGCGTTTGGAATGCCCTTCCCCCCCAGCCCCCATTCTGGCAAACTCTGACTTACCCACTGAACCCTGGATCAAATATAATTTTCCCTGTAAAGCTCTCCCCAATCCTCCTAGAGTTATCTTCTCCCCCTCTGGGCTCCTTCTGCTCTGGTTTGTGTATTTGTTTGATGAAATATCTATTTCTTCCCGCCAGATTGTGATCTTTTCAAAAGCAGGGACCAAATCCTACTCACAGCTGCGCATCGACAGTGCCGAACACCGCAACTTTCGTAGAGAAAGTTCTCAGAATCCTCCGACGACTAAATGGGCAAAAGGTCAGAATACAAGAGAACCATGGCCAGAGTGTGCGTAGCAGCAGGACACAAAGCCCCCCACAACACACATGTGAAATCCACAAAAGCGGGCAGAAACACAACCTCGGAGTTGCCCGGACCAGAATCAGGAGCACGACAGACCTAGTTACTAGTAGGGCCAGACTTCATGCTAACATCTGCATCTAAAATCTAAAATCCCTATTACGGAATCGTCGATTAAGAACAACAACAGAATGAGTAACTACATTTGAAAAACAAATACACTAAAATGTTTTCCTCAATTATTCCATATACATGTTCATAGGGTTCGGAGATCTTCAAAGCATCCCTTGGTTCTGTAGGTCTCAGCAGCACAGTGAGAAATCACGGCATCCGGCCTGGGTCAGTCCCTGGACTGGGGAGCAGCGGGTAAGGCTCCATAAGGGATGTGACCTTGGTCTCTGCTGGACAGCCTTACTTGTGACAAAGCCGATCTTTCCACAGGCATCAGCCCCAGCAAATCTACCACTGTCTGCCCTTTCTGGCTGACAATTCTTACCCAGATAGCATCTAAACCCTTACACCCCTACGCACTTTCCTCCCCTTGGGTAGAAGCTCTCAGAAACGTCATTGCATTTTGGAGTTACCTGGACTGAAAAGACATGTGAGATTCAGAAAAATGTATCTACAGGTGAGAACCTTTTTTGCATCAAGGAAATGAAATGTACGGAGAACAAACTCATTAGGTAAGTTTGAGGAAGAAAATGGAAGTAAGAAAGGATCTTATTTTTTTATTCTCTTAACAATGGAAAAGCGAAAACTTTTAATAGCCATACGGAATCGCTTCGGCATCCAACGGTTGAACCTTAAAGTGCAGAAAAACCCACTTGAGCCGGATGTACTGAGTCAAAACCTGTCTTCATATGACCTCCACGAGTCTCAGGCTCAGGAGCTCCTGTTAATTCCACGCGGTCAACGCAAGCTATTTGAAACCAACCCCACAAACACTTACGTAAACTGACCACGCTCTCCCATGACCCCCGCCCTGTGGACACGGCCACAGGTGAATCAATCAGTCACTCACTCAGCCTCTGCTTCTTATAAAATGAAAAATTGCTGAGCCGTCCTCAAGGGGCAGTCCAAGGACCCCAGAGGTTCCTGAGCTCAAACCATTTTCATAATGACGCTAAGCCATTATCTGCCTTTCTTGCTGAGTTGACATTTGCATGGATAGCCCATGTGCACCAGGTGTCCCTGTTTCTCGGCTATCACGCACTTGCTATGAAAGCAAAAATGCCAGTTTCCCTTAGGAATGTCCTTCACACAGCCATGCGACTTAACTGTTTTTTTTTTTTTATCAAATTTTAACCTTCAAGCATGTATATTTTTCATGTTCTGTATACAGAACGGGAAACACACCCAAAGCCCCACATGTCTGATCTGCAAGCTGAATGAGCGCCCCACGCCCCCGTTTTTTCCATGGAACACCATTTTTACTCGAAAGAATGGCTAAATTATAATTATTCAGCCTGGGGTATGTGGCAGCTGTTTTAAAAAATTAACTGAAAGGAGCAGACCCATTCAAGGAGAGCAACTGATGGTGTTGAATTTTCACAGACTTTCACATGAAAATTAAAATTTTAGGAAAATTAGTATCCTCCATGGTGAGCCTGACAGCGTTCCAAAACTCAAAGACTTTCCTGATGCGCTGGGTAGTGACGTTTCAGAATGTGTGTGTTCTTTACATTGTCCAAGGAAACGGGCCAACAGCGGGAAGATCGCTGTAACTTGGGGAGCCAGTATTTTGCAAACGAGCACTGTGTGATATTACAAAATCACTTGTAGGTAAAAGATCCATTCCGAGCACAAGATAAGGCAATACTTTTCCATAAGGGAAGAATAAAATGTCATGAATATGGCTTAAGAGTCCACATTCCAGCTGACTGGAATTTCAGAAGCTACTGTAGTCGTAAAAAATAGCCATGATTATCTGAAGAGGCTGTGAAAAATGTCCTCCTTTTTCCAACTCTCATATCTGGGTGAGGCCGAACTTTCCCTATGAACTTACTTACAACAGCATATCACAACGTACTTAACGGAGAAGCATTTATGAGAATGCAGCTGTGTTTTATTAAGCCAGACATTAAAGAGATTTGCAAAGATATAAAACAGTGCCATGGTTATCAGTCCTTTTCTTTAAAGATGGCTTTTTCAAAAAGCGTTATTTATGCGAATATGTGATGGGCTTCTTACTGTTATTTCTAAATGGATTAGTAAATAGACATGTTCAATGTTTTGTTTCAATTTCTAATATGGTAAATATCGATAGCTATAACTCACATGAACAAAAGCTCTTTAGGCTTCTTGGAGAAGCTTTTAAAGTTTTGGGGTGGGTTTTTGTTTTTTGTTTTTTGTTTTTTTTTTTTTAAGGTTCAAAAGGGTCCCAAGGCCAAAAGATTTGCGAACTGCTAAGCTAGTTGATCTGGAAGGTTTATTTCACTGGGAAAACTTCTTTCGACCCTTGTGTTCAGAGTTCCAGGGCAAAAAATGAAGAAGTTAGATTTGTTCTATCTTCTCACTCTAAGGTACAGCCTAATCATGTATCACAAAAAAATTGAGTTTTACCTAGATTTCTTCCACTGTTTCACGCATTAGGCTCAAATGCACTAACAGACGTGGTAAAAATAAAATTTGCATTTTTTAAGTACAATAAGGTCTGCAAAGCAATTTAACATCTGCTGCTCTGTTCCTCTTAACAATCCCAGGAGGCAGCTTGGACTCTCTGAAGGCAAGCTAAAGGGAAGCAGACCATCTCCAGTCCTGTGTGTACAAACAGCAAGACTTAGAGACATGGAAAGATACAAAAATGAATTACTACTTGTTATTCCCTGCTGTTTCATGTGAAGTAAATGAAATGCACTATTTTCGTACGGACACGCAGATCATGATAAAACTCTGGCTTAATATTGTGTTGTGAACATCTCAAAAATTTTGATCCTTATTCTAGTATCTCATGACCTAACACTTGGGATGATACAGAAAAGTGGTTCAGATACTTGGTCTTTCTACTGAGGCTGTCATTTGTGTGACGTCCACACATCCCTGGTGGTGTTCAGGAGATAGGGTCCCTGGTTCTGGATGGCCTGTGAATTAGTCTTGGGATTCTGTCTCTTGGTGACTTCATCAGAAAGCTACTAACTCTCGGGGCCAACGTGAACACCAAGGAGATACCATGTCTCCCAGATATAGAAGCGCACCATAGATAAATTCTGATTTGCAGTTCCCACCTGGTGTGGGATTACTGCAAAGATGATTGCTTTTTTTGAGGCCTTCTGTAGATTTTATTTGTGAATGTTAAGTGCTCTGCAAAGAGAAAGGCTATGCATGCTTAAGCTCAGTCTGACTGTACCCAGTCTTGGTAATGATGGGGATGGTAAGGGTTTAATTTTTAAAATTCCAGTGCGTATGTGAAAAACACATCCTAACCTTTTTTTTTTTCCCTAAAGAATCCTGTTGGAAACACATTCTCAGAAGAAAGAATTTGAAAGTCTTTTCAAGAAAACTGGAATGCCCATTAAGAAGGTATGACATAGGGAACACTGTATCCTTCTTTTACTTACTTTTCTGAGGGTTGTAACGAAGTCCCATCCTTGGTCCACGTGTAGGTGGCCTGACTGGGGGTAATGAGCTCACACAGTATATTGATGACCTCCGTCCTTTTCGTGATGTACACTGTATTTCCAATTCTTGAATTTATTGTTTTGTTAAATGAAATCAAGGTGGGCTCGCTTTGCCTTCTGAGAACAGGTCCCCTGGGCCTGAAGGTCAGCTTGCCTGAGTTCTCCACCTCCGAGGCTTGAGGCCTCCTTCTTGCTTCCCCCCTCAGCTGGGCGGCAAGAGGCACCCCTTCCTGGGCACCCCTCCAGGGGGCCAGTGCTGGCTGCACCCTGGCTAACTCGGCCACCAGCTGGTAGATCACCTGGGACGCCAGGTCATCACTGACCTCTCCGGTCTCCATGAGCTGACTCATGTTTCTGATCAGCTCCTCAAACTGGGCCGTCTCCATGCTGTACGCTCCGTGTTTAAGTGCTGCTTCAAACTGCTTATTCTTAAACTCCCAGGAGTGAGGGTTTCCTGCAGAATTACTGCAGGGACCCAACAGAGCCCTCCAGAAAGGCTGCTTAGCCACTTGGCCGTCCTCCGGATACAGCTCATTTTTGTTACCCCACAGCTGCCTCATTTTCTGCCACGTGGCTCCCAAGCCGTTGGCGTCCTTGTGGTCCATCCCCAGATATGGCGTCGCACTCTCCGAGAGCGCTGGGGGCGCAATGAGCCGGTTGTCCGTGCCGATGAGCTTGAGAACCGCGGTCTCCCACGCGGGGCCAGCCACGCAGCGGTATGTGCCGATATCTGGGGCCGCCAGGCTGTGGATTTTTAGGGAACCTGACTTGGTGACGCCAAGCCGCTTGGAGTTCTGCAGACAATGGCCATCCTTCTCCCACTGGATCAGGGATTTCTGGAATCGGCGTACTGGGCATTTAATGATCACCGAAGTGTTAGGCAGCAAATAGGCTCTGCCCCCCACAGTCAGGTTAATGCGCTTCTCCTCCCTCGTCTGGATGTAGACTCTCTGGACCCCGAGGATCTGGGGCCCCTGCTCCCCAGACCGTGTCTTCGTCTCTGGTTTCGCTTCTGCAGGGGGGAAGGAAAGAAAATGTGAACAAATATCTCCATAATATAAGCTTTCTGACAGTAGTCTTCCAAGGCCGATGCGAGTCAACAAATGTATCTTTTAAAACAGCTCCCCATATATAACGGAATATTACTCAGCCACCAAACCGACTTACATCAGTGCAGATGGAACTGGAGGGTGCTGTGCCGAATGAAATAAATCAGAGAAAGACAATTATATGGTTCACTCATATGTAGGATATAAGAAATAACACAGGGGATCGTGGGGGCATGGAGGGGAAACTGAATGGGAAGAAATCAGAGAGGAAGCCAAACCATGAGAGACTCTGGGCTCCGGGAAACAAATGGAGGGTTGTGGAAAGGGAGGTGGGTGGGAGGATGGGGTAACTGGGGGATGGGCATTGAGGCCACGTGAGGTGAGGAGCACTGGGTGTTATGGCCAGTAATGAATCACTGAACACTGCATCTGAAATTAATGATGTACTGTATGTTGGCTAATTGAATTTAAATTAAAAAAAAAAAAACTAGCCGACAATGACAAGATAAACAACAGTATGCCGTATATCTGTAGATTGAGGTACCTCTCACACCTGCCTAGAACATTAGCAGTGAAGAATGGAAATCTGAATGAAGGGCATAACGTGTGTGAATTATTTTGCAAAGCCCTGGTTTAGAGGGGAGGTGAGGTGACATGTTTATATCAGTAAGGGGTGTCTGACGTTGGCGGACGCCCCCAATACCAGACGCCCCCTTGCTGATACGACTCAGTTGGAGGCACAGCAGCTCTCGGGGGGAAAGCAGAAGCAGGGGTGTGAGCACAAGCATTCGAAGGACCTGGAGGTGAGGACGAGGTGCCAGAGGGTGCCGGTAACCAGAGCAAGTCAGTCAAAGCAGCAGGGCCTGAAGGGGCATGTGATCCCAGAAGAAAAGGGAGAACAGGCCTGCTGAAGCCAGCCAGACAGACCTGAGTTTGGACCTTAGCTCTGCCCCTCGGACAAGTCACCTGATCTCTCTGAGCCTCCGGATTCCTGCCTAGGAAATGCGGGGAATGCTAGTGCCTTCATCGGGGGAGTGTAAAAGCCTGGTTGGACGTTTATACCAAGTGTACAGCCCAGCAGTGAGCACTTGATACACACAACCTCCAAGACCCCAAGAAGTGAAAAAGGGAGGTCCGAGAGGACCCCCTTACCCCGGAGAGGTGCGGCTGGCTCTAGCTGGTTCCGGGACATGGGCTCCAGTAGATGGCCTCGGCCCAAAGAGGACGCACCTTAGGTCTCTCTTTTGGAAGAGGAACCTGCGGGAAGGCCTTGCTGAGCCCCGGAGTGATTCCGAAGGTAGGGGGAGGCATGGCCTGGGTGGAAACCTGGTCCTTAGGTCCAGGTCCATACGGACCTGGAGGACTAGAAGAAGCACGGGGTGACAGAGGGGAAATGGACGCCTATCTGAGGTATTGCTAGACTCAGGAGGTCATGGCATCGGGGGCCTCACTAGCTTGGAGGATCCTGGTTATAGGCCCTCCAGCTCAGGCGCGTGCAAGGACACACCAGGGGAAGAATCAGACTGAGTCCCCACTTAGACGGCCCTCTCCAGCCTGCGGCAGTAGCTATGGTGGGTCTACCAAGACCCTGTTTTTCCAGAACAACTCCAGGAGACCTCTTGTGTGGCTATGATTCCCATAGGGTGGAGCTGCTTGCTGGGGTGGGGCGGTACCAGTGCATCCAGGAAAACCACAGGGCTGAACCCATAAGGTTCACAGTAGATGTTCTCGGTGAAGGACCCGCGTGAGTCTGCAGAGTCGCGATTGGTAGGTCCGACTCCTGTGTGGGGTTCTGCCCGCGATGTTCCTCGGCCCATCTCCAAGAGGAGCTGGGTGACGTGCCACACACACGCACTTGCCTGCGGGGTTCAGTCTCCGCGGAGGTCAAGTTCACGCCGCCGGCTGAGGCGTACAGATGGTCTCTCGCTCAGCAGCACAGGACATGGAACGTACGGTCACACGTTCAAAGGCAGGAAGAAAACTTTGGGATTCCCCGGCCTGTGTGTAGTTTATCCGTTGTTACAGGCCGCGATGCCATCTGAAAGACTTTGCAGCATGCACGGCACGAGCACAAGTGCCCGTGCTGGGTAGAGCAGGTGAGTTGGCAGGTGTGCCTGGGGCGTGATCCAGGGTGCGGGCTCTGCCATGTGGTGTGCAGACAGAGGCTAGTTACCAACTATTTGGGAAGTATGTCCACATTTTTTCTCTTTTTGAGAGAGAGAGAGAATCTTAGGCAGGCTCTGCTCTGATGCAGGGTTCCATCTCACGACTCTGAGATCATGACCTGAGCTGCAGTCAAAGTCAGATGCTTAATCAAGGAGCCACCAGGGCTCCAATATGTCCAGATGTTAATGACTGGTATGGGGGGATTCAGTACCAACTAAAGCCGCGGCTCTCCAACTGTGCTGCCTGTTAGAAGGTATTACTGAATCACTATTTGTTCATCTCAATGTCCTGGGTCCCATTCCCAGAAATTCTGACTTATGGGGTGCGGCCTGGGTGTCAGAATTTGGTTAAGTTCTCAGGGTGTCCAAAACCTGCAGCCAAGTTTGAGAGCACTTGCCTCCCCCCGACCAAGCGTACCGCCGGATTAAACCAAAGCAGCAGAGAAAGGTGTTCGTGACCCCATTTATTTTACTGAAAGGCAATGTGATGGGATGTCACTGGTCAAGAGAGAAGGGAGAATAAGGAATCAGCATCTGCATTCTGGTGCGAACCCGCCCAAAGTCTGTGTGGCATGTGGTGTCTTCTGGAAGAAGACCGAAGGAGGATTTCTTTCTGGGCTCGGCCTCAGGGATCATCTTACCCTGAGTAATGAGCTCGTTTCCCAGCCAGTGCACGCCGAACTGTGTCACTGACCCAGCTGCCTCTTCAAGATCGCAGCCGTGTTGGCAAGTTCGGAGCCAAACCTGTGCCCACACGCGAGAGGAGGACACAATTTCAGACCGAACCATGTATTCACCTCATTTGTTTTCCTTTCTCGTTCCCCACCTACTTCTAATTTTACTCACCTAGTTGCATCGTATAACTAGTTCCAAGTGGCCTATCATTGTGTCAAGGCATGATGCGTGCGCCCGTGTGTCCATGCACACACCTGAGCATCTACACAGACGCGTGCCTCCCTCCCTGGACAGAGCCCTCCCGGTTACGCACAAGGATCTCGGTGAACGCCCCGTCTGGTCATGGGTCCCTTGGCGGCCGACAGTGGAAGGACGGATGTGCACATGGACAGCTTCAAGGTCACGACACAAACTGGGCGAAACTCCGGCTTTTGAATTTGTGCAACTGAGGCACGTGAGGAGATGGGCTACTTCGGGGTCAGCATGCTGCGAAGGATGAGGCCGTCGCTGGAACATTCCTCTACTTACTGGGAGACAGAAGCCCATGTGGGCAATGCAGCACACGGCTCTAGCTGAATGTTTCCAGCAGGGGATGACCTGAGGCCGGAAGAGGTCCACACAGCATCTTGGTGCCCTAGACGTGACCAGGGACGTGGGTTCTAATTACCTGTTGGTCCGACGGTAGCCAGATGTTCCTCAGTTAAGGCTGAGGCTTAAACCAGACGGGGCCTTGACTCCTTCCAAGGCAGCTGGGGAGTCTAAAGGGGAGGGGCAGTGTGGAGCCTCGGCGAGGAAGCTGCCCACGGGCTGGGTGAGCCACATGAGCGGGCGTCTGCTCCCTCTGGCCGCATGCCCAGTCGCTGGAAGGTCAGCCCGGCAGGCTCCCTTCCCAGCCCGGCTTTCACAAGCGCCCGTGCTGGGTAGAGCAGGTGAGTTGGCAGGCGTGCCTGGGGCGTGATCCAGGGTGCGGGCTCTGCCAGGCTGCCGGGTTCCACAGCGTGGGCCGTTCTTCTCTTGGGACGCCTCTGGGTTCCTTTGGAGAAGTGCCCGGAGCATGACCTCGCTGGACACAGTTAGGCAAGAACCAGTCTGTTTTTGGGTGACCGCCTCCTCCTGCCCCTGGACGGCCGCACGGCTCAGCCTGACCCGGGAGGCCATCATCTACTCAGCAGAGAGTGGCCAGGAGCCCGCGGCTTCCTCCTGGAGCGGCTGTGGCCTGTGCAGGGTCCTGCCCCTCCCCCCACCTCTCCGCTGTGCGGGATGTGAGAAATGCCACATCTTCTGGCTTTTCTAGAAAAGGTCTTCTTCTAGAGGTCTTCCTTCTGGTCCTGTGCCAGCCTGCCCTACCCAGCCTGGGAACACGAGACTGCCCACAGCAACTGTGTCTCAGCTCCTTGCTTGCCTGCATCCTGCCCTAATTCCAGTCCTGTCCCTGCCAGAACTCAAAGCCTTGGTGCCAGGCCAGCTTCCTGCCCCAAGCCATCGGGGTTGGGTATGTACACTTGCTCTGGCCAGCAGAGGCCTCTGGCCACGCCCAAGGGGGCTTCAGCTGCGATGCTGCCTCTTAGCCTTCTAGAACCACCCAGCACCATTGGAGGCCCCCAAGTGTGGCCGCGGGGCTGGCGCTGGCTCCGGGTCCCTCCTCGAGCACAGAAGAGCTGGCAGGCTCCCTGGAGCCCAGGCAAGGACCTGCGCACGCTGGACTCTTGCCAGACTCCGCTGACGGTAGAGGCATGGGAGCTGAGGGGGGCAGGGGGGCGCCTCGGGTCAGACTTGCTAAAGGAGCCAGGACGGCCCAGTGGCCCCGGGAGGCCGCTGCCGCAGCTGCCACGTCAGCCTGACAGTGGCTTCTGTTTACTGCCGCTCGGCGCTTTCCAGCCAGATGCCGTCTGGCCTCGCTCGAAGCTCCCCGCTCAACGATCCCTGGGAAAGGCCACCGCGGTCCGTCCGGCCAGTGACACATGCAAAGTCTCCCTTCCACGTTCATAGTAGCCGTTCTAGGCCACACGGCCCCCTGAATCACTCGCTTCTCCGGAAAGTCCCTCCGCTCACGTTCTCAGCCTCACGGGGGCCTTTCCGACCGCAGCTCATTGACGCTGCTCCGCGCACTCCGGGGCCCCTGG